GGGCAGAGGGAATAATGGTAATGGTAGTATCAAGATGGGAATCTCAACCCTGCTACCCTCTCTGGAAAACTGTGTTAACTGATAGCCCAATAGTTTTTCATCCAGTTAATAATTCGATTATTTTCCCTTTTAGCACTCTTAGCCCTCCCTCCTGTTCCCTGGAGGTAGGCAGATTATCTGGCAAGCTCTGTTGTTAAAAGGAAATCTAGAAGAATCAATCCCAATTCTCTTAGAGTCTCTATCAGAATCAACTCTAAAACAGTACGAGAGCGCATACAGGTACTGGTGGGACTTTTGCCAGGAACAGAAGCTGGATGTGTATGAGGCTGGAGAAAAGGAAGTACCTACTACTATTTTTCAATAGTTTATTCAGAAGAAAGAAATTTAAGTATGGATCTTTTAATACATACTGTTCAGCTTTATCTTTAATTCTAAATGTTATTGAAGGGGGTGTTTAGGCTAAGACCCCCTCAAAGGTGTTACAATTACATATGGGATGCTAATGTAGTCCTAAACTACTTGGAAAAGAAATTTCCCAATAATGTCATTTCCATAGTGTACCTATGCAAGAAGATTTCCATTAACTATTGCTACTTTACTTGCATTGGTATCTGGTCAAATAATTCAGACCTTTAGCCAAATTAGAGTGGATCAGATAATATTCTCGGCACGGGGCATTCAGATATTAATTCCTGATCACTTAAAAACTTCAGATCGGGTTAGTACAAATCCTTGTTTGCATTTGCCGTATTTTCCAGACCGTCCAAGTGTAAAGTGTATAGCTTCTTGTTTGGAGGAATATATAAACAGGACAAGGACAGTAGTTTTTCGAACTAAACATCAGGAATTATTATTTTTAAAGAATCGTTCCACATATTTATCTGCTACTTCGGCTACTATAAGTAGGTAACTGGATTAACAGATCTCTTTCGGAGGCAGGCATAGACACTAAGGTGTTTACGGGGTATTCTACCAGACATGCTTCCACTTCAGCAGCTTTCAGGAATGGCATTTCTCTTAAAGAAATAAGAAGATCGGCGGGGTGGTCGGCTAATTCCAAAATGTTTGATCAGCATCATTTTTTGCCATTGATTGAACAGCTCAGACGGCTTTGCGAAGGCGGTAGTTCAGGGCAATGAAAAACTCATTTAGTAGGTACTATAACAGAACATGAAGTTCAATCGGAATTATATGAGGTGCCCCGTCCGTAGATATCACAACCCACCCTATAGTATGCAGTATTGGGAGTGGACTTTGATAATTATGATTTTATAACTTTCGCAGTTATTCTATACCCATGCCAACTCTATCCTCCAATTTTTTGGGTCCTTTTAAACTGAATGAAGTTAGGGCACAAAGGTGAGGTTAGATTGCGATATCCAAGGAGGAGCAGTGACATTATGTTCTTTTTTCTTTCAATAGAGTGATTTGTTTTACACAGGCCTTATGAGGATAGGCTATCCTGTAGTAGTAGTATGTATCATCCTTGCATGACTATAGCTAAGAGCGAGTCATGGGATAAGAAATGTGAAGAAATTAATACCTACATAGGAGGAAGGAAATGCTCAGAGGTATGGAGATTTATATCAAATGTCAAAAACCCAGGAAAGGACAGAGCTAATATCCAGGTGATCAAACCAAAGCAATGGATAGAACACTTCACTACAAGGGTCTATTACAAGTGTAGTGACGCGGAAATAAACCACCAAGAAAACAATTAAAGGTTCTGATTATTCTAAACAACTAAAGACCTAGGATCCAATTACCGAAAATTAATCAAGAATAACAAGGACTTACCAAACAACCATCTCAGGAGAGATCATCACTTAGACAGCACAACCAGAAACTTCAATTAAAAATTATCTGAACATCGATATCCAGATATTATTGAAAGCCGATACTCTATATTATTGACATTGGAATGTGAATAAAGCAAACGTTCATGGACTTTTTTTTTAACTGCTTTCAACAATTAACATTCCAAAGGAGCCGAAAAATTTCTAGAAGGATCAATAAATCATGCACGAGCCTATATGATGATACCCACTTAACAAACCATTTAGCGACGCCCTTGATAATTAATTAAAAGGAGATCAAATACACTAATTGATCGGATGATTCAACCACGAAAAATCGAGGTCAGAAATAAAGAAATTCAAGACAATGGAGGGACCAATGATATAAAAAGGCAACTTTGACAGGAGAAAATCGGTGTTCGAGAAAACCAGTGTTCGAGAAAGAGCGAGTAAACCGGCAGAACTACGGCGTGAAGGACCAGTGTCGGTTGAGTAATCAAGAAACAAGTAGTAATCGAGAATCGAGAGACCTGTGTCCAGAAAGTCAGAACTACGGCGTGAAAGAGTTGTCGAATTAACCGAGAGAAGAAGCACGACGTGAAATAACAGCGCAAAAATATTCGAGTTTTTTATTAAGTGTTCATAATTAAAGTAAATTCCTCCGACCAATAAGATTTCCATGTAATTAGGTGGGGCCAGCAGTTAATATATTATTGTTAAATGTTAGTAGAGTTTTTTTATGTTCAGCCAGAAACTGTGAAGGCAAGAGTGTGAATCGAGTCAAACTGTAAATAAAATTTTTTACTTGGAATCATATAAATTTTCCTTAACAGTTAATTGATGCTTATTAGAAATCTAACAATTTTATTGTAAGATTATTTATTGCGGACGCCTGTTATTTAATAAGAAGCATTATTTATTTTAATAAAATAAACTTTATTTTAATTGACCACAATATTTCTGTGTTTTACTCTCCACCCGCAAATAGGACCAATTTTAAACTGTGTCTCCACTAAGAAACTAAAGTCACCGTTCGCCAATTTAACATCTTGCCAAGTTTCTGAATTTGGGGTCTCACAAAAGAAGCTATAGACCGGAATTTATGTTAGATTCTCCAAGAGATATTGAAGTACATGGAGAAGAATTTGAGATATCTGAAGGAAGAAACAGTAACAAAGACTGTTAAGAATCTTGATTCAGGTAAAGCTAGCAGCCCAGAAGGGATATACTCCGAAATGCTCAAATGGGGGGACCGAGAAGCTCTTTAGCGGTCTCACATGTATTATCAGTCACAAGCACACTAAGCAGACTATACGGTAGAATCCTGGGAGATCACATTGAAGAAGAGAAAGAAGAAGGAGCAGTGTGGCTTTAGAGCAAGATGATCAGCTACAGACAACGTATTTTGCCTAAAACAACTCATAGAAAAGAGATCTGCTAGACATTTGGAAACCCACCTAACATTTGTGGACCTACAAAACGCATACGATACAGGTCTCAGCGGTCCCAGTATCCAGACTATGGAAGGTATTAGAACAATCCAACCTAGATCACACCTATATAACGGCCCTCAAAGAACTATATGAAGACTGAAAAACTCACAGACAGAATATTTATAGTGAATAAGGACTACGTCAAGAATGCTGTGTCTCTCCTACGCTTTTCAAAATATACGTAGATAGCAGTAGCACTAAAAAAAATGGAAGAGGAAGATCCATGGAATGTGTATTGAGATAAATGATAGGTGTCTCTTCACTCTACAGTTCACAGATTATCAGGTCATAGTAGCCAGTGTCCAGTGACAAAGAGGACATGCAATATCTGATTAGAAAGCTGATAGAAAAGTACCAAGAATGAGGCTTTAATATAAATAAAATAAAATATCTATGTGTAGGCACCCAGAACAGAAACTTGGGAGTGGAGAAATGGTAAGAAAATTCTGCAATGTCAGGAATACGAGTATCTAGGTATCACATTCGACAACACCGGAACAGATGGGAAAGAAATAGAAAAAGAAAAGGGATGTTTTTATATTTTTTTACATGTAGGTACTTCATTCCAGCATTGAAAAGGATTTAATGATAAATCGAAACGTTGGCGATTTTTTGAAACAGAGGAATTTGTTTTACTTTGTCCATTTCCCGCAAACCTTCTAGTGTATTAAACTTATTGGAATACAAATTTGCGACAAAACTCTAACTTGTTAGAAAGTTTTTTTTTTTTTTCAGGTATGACCAACGTGAATTCAGGGACACAACGGTCCCTGTTTGGGAATCGACCCACTGAGCAGTGGACTCAGGCTTCCCGTGCCAATCCTTGACGCGTTTCGTCCTTGTTAGGACTCATCAGAAGGACATAGGCTGAAGCTTCAGTCGGTAGGGGTATTTGCTCTCGGAGTAGTTGTTTCTGACTGGTCAATGAAGTTCAAAACTCTAACTATTGATATATTTCTTCGCTTGTGTTGAACTGATGAGAACTAAAGTGTCCGAAATCGGTCTGCAACTTGCGTAATATTCAATGAATGGGAAATGGGAACTCGATTTTCACTTCATTTTCTTACAGAGAACAAATTAACTATTCGTATTGCATAGTCTATCAGCATCTAGAAAGGATAAAACCTCTAGTATTTAGGTATAAAGAAATGGCAGTGGATTTGTAAAGTTTGTATTGTGAATTTTCCTCCTGAAAACTATTGTAAAAAGAAAAGAAATAAAGTGTCAATATTAATTTCATGAATCAGTCCCTGACAGTCTAATTTTGGTACCATTGAGAGCTTCTTTGGACATTCCTTGACATGTTCAGAAAATATTATAAGTGCACATCAATGTGGCAAAATTAATTTAATAGACAGTAGTCTGACTAGCAGGTCTTCAATTCTGGTTTGAAAATGTCTTGATAATATGTTCACAAAATAGGTAGGTATATAGGTACTCGTTTGAAGTGCCTACAAGGACAACAAATCAGAGCTAAATGGAGAAGAAAGTGATCAGTGAGATTAAGACATTTAATTCTGGCACCATCTCAACCAACCAACCAATAAAATGAATATTTTATTTCAATGATTTTGAAATTCATTAGAATTGATCAACATAATTATCAACAATAAATAACTCAATCCAATTTTCAACAAAACTAAATTAATTTACTTGCAACAAGATTTGCTTTGACAAATAAAATTCATTTTATAATCAGGCATATTACAAGGCATATCGTACCAATAAATTTCATTATCACTTTTCTTATAAATTTCCAAACATTCTTCTCTATTTCCAGCATTATCTGGCTGTCCAATAGCAAATTTATTATAAATCACTGGCTTTCCAGTTGTGAAAAAAACGTACATGTTGCAAGTTCCCAGTTTGGTACCCGATATCCAGAAACCACCTAATAAAAAACTGGACATAAATTTACATGAATAATTAAAAAATTAACTTGCTTCCATCAGCTTCTAGCTTTAGAAGTTCTTCTATAGTCATTTCCTCTTCTACAGATTCTACACTTGCCAACTCCATACCATATTGCAGACATAAGACATAGGCTTCGAACCACGAGACTCGTTGTTTTCCAATAAAATATGTTCTTGGTGGACATTTTAAATTTGATAATAATAGCCTTTCATCTTCTGCATTAAAAATAAAAAGCGATGAAAAATATAATATGTAGTTATAGATGCAAAACCTACCTAAAGTTAGATCTGTGATCTTTGTAATGCAGATTGTGTGATTAACTAGATTGTAACCTAATGATTTTATTGTTAAAATATTAAGCAGCATTTTACAACAGGAAATTTGTTACCTACCTGATGGAAACATATTGGCACTGATTACTACAAAGGGTATTAGAAACATCAATATGTAAAGCATTTTTATTCCCTCAATAATTTAATTGCTTAAAGCTTTCAAATAATGAAACATTCTATTAAATGAGAATTATTTCTCGTTTTCAGTACAATCTACCACATCCACATTTTTTGATAAGGGTATTACAAAAATAGGTTTACCAACAAATTAACTCATGCATAATGAGAATAAACTTCTTTAATAATAATAAGATCCTATATGGGAAATTCGGCCTTATCTTATAAAACTAACTGCACCACTGTTATTTAGCAAAATCACTGCACGGAATTCCTACAATATGCACTACAAGGCAGACAAAATTAATTGAATTCAATCGAACAACGTTCTTTTATTTGAATCAAATCATATTAAATTCAAAGCGCGATTTAATTCTGCAATATATAAGGAAAAAAAGTTACACCGGTTACCGGTTGACATTGAAGTGAAAGCGGAAATTAAATGAAATTTAATTAATTTCAACAAAGACAATCACCGCAAAATTTGGTAATGGACGATTAATGCAAAATAAAATGTTTACCAGATGCAAAAAAAAAAAATAACGAGTGTTGAATCTGATCATCAGGCCGACCATTTGATGCTTTGAAATATGAAATTCATTGATTACTAGGCGTCCTGCTGCAGTTTGGTTTTATATCATATCGGGGCTCATGTGAAAGGACATCGCACACATCTTATGGGTTTTCGGGGACCGGTCGATTTTCTCAAAAATTTGGTATGTTGACTATGTTGTAGTACTAGCAAAAATAAGCATTTTTCATCATTGCACCAAATCTCTAACTATACAGGCTGACCCAGTAAAGTGGGTCCATACCCCGCGATCTTCAAATGTACCAGCTGGTTCGATGATAAACTTGTTTCATGCCCGGTAGAGGCGCTATCAATTGATTTGCGTATGCGTTGTTGATTGTATCTCCAAGGTATCTCCGCTTCAGAAGAAGGATGACGTGATTACTAATTAAATTTTGACACAAACCGACATAAATTAATGAAATGACAAATGATGACAAAACGATAAACTGGAAAACGTTGTGCTTCTTATTGTTGTTTTAATATTTCTGTTCGTTTAAAAAGTATTTCGTAGAGATAGAGCGTGTGCTATCTGTGTGTATTTGTAGACTTTCGCAGTGTTATATTTAGCGTAAAGACTATCATTGTTATTTAATTCTGTGTTTTTAAGTGTTGACTTTGTTGACAAGTTTCGAAAAGCCAACATAATTTTCTTCTTTCTTTGTAATAAACCGTTATTTGTTAAATTTGTATCAAATTGTTTCTTTATTATAAAATTAATAAAAAGCAAATCTTAAAAAAAAAAAGAAGCAAACTGCTCTACAAGCTGCTACAATGGGATAAGCTCATTTCATAGACAACAGATGGCGCCACAAATGGTGATCCGACCCGTATCACGGGACTGTCCATTCTATACCCACTATAAACCTTATTCTATGAGTGGGTCCGAAAATCATAAAACAACCCTTTATTTATCGATGTTGGTGCGTACTTCAAGCTACATATCAGGATTTTTGTTTTCGACTTCGCAAATAAATTGTCAGATAAGCCTAATATACTATACAGGGTGGCTAAGCTTGCGTATTCTTTTAAAAATCCTGCCCTATTTCTTAGAAATAGTGTTACCAAAAAGGTCGCACTGGATTCCATATCTCCGTAACTTTTTTAATTTTTGTCCGATTTAAAAAAATGTGGTTTTAAAATAAAGCCTATATTATCACAAGGATGTCATGAAATCTAAAAAATTACAAATGTGACAAAATTCGAGATGGCGGAAAGCGATAAAAGTATAATTTTATATTCAATCGTGGATTCTTATGTATATTAAACCGAGTTTGAAATTGAAAACAAAGTCAAAGTCAAAGTCAAAAAATGCTTTATTGTCTAAGAACAAAATTCTCGTTGACAAAGCTGTAAAAGGGGAAAAAAAAAAAACATTATACAAAAATAATTCCAGGGCCATAGAGTACCAAGATTGAAATAATCAAAATAAAAATACAATACAAGGTCAGACTAAAACAATAAAATCATTTAAACAGTCATTAAAACAAAAGATGAAGTCACTTTAAAAATCAACATAAATATAAACATAAATCAACATAAATACAAAAACATGTTCATTCTAAAATATAAAATACAAAATATCAAAATTGCACAAACGTAAAGTCAACAGACATAGAAGTCATTGAAAGCAAGACCCAAAAGGGTAATGTTGAGAGTAATTCTAATCACAATTCATCAGTTGACACAATTCCTAAAAATCGGTGTGATATGAGATACTCACACATATATAGCGTGTAAAATAATAACCTGACTCTTTTTTTTGACGTTCTGATATACAGGGTGTTCTATTAAAAATAGTTGAGAATTTTGATGTTGAAATAGTATATTCTATAACAAGTGTGGAATAAGCAAAATTCTACACGAGTGGTTTGTTCCCCGAGCCGAAGGCGAGGAGAACGGCTACACGAGTGAAGAATTTTGAATTCCACACATGTTATAGAAGGTTTGTTCCAACACAGCAGAAAACCGTACAATGTACCGTCATGATTCTGCGCAAAACCTAAAATTTGTGCGCAGAAACCCAAATTCGTATACTACTGAGTGGTTTCAAAACCGTCCATGATGGGACGATTTTTTGACTATACTTTTTCTACGACTAGAATCAAATGAAATAACTAACAACAAACCACAGACACAGATAGGAACGCCTAGGGTGATACCGAACGCACTCCAAAATTTGATCTTTTAAAGATACGTCAAGTATTAACATTGTCAAATAGCGTTTTCTATTTTCCATCCTCTTTTCACCAAAAAGGCTGCAAAGGACAATTGTGCTTTATTGTGCTGCACTCAATGAACTATAGTCAAAAACTGGAATGCGCACACATTGCCATATCTGCCAAAAAAATGTAGCCATGAAAGATAGATGCCACAAAGGGGAATGTTGTTTTTTTCTTTTGCTCGCTGACATATGACGTTTTGGAAAGTTTTGTCATATTTACCTTCACAGGTTTCATCAATTGGAATACGTGTTGGAAGCAATTTCCGCCATTTAACATAATGAATACGACAAAAACAGGTATCCCCTCCGCAGCAGCGGCACTAGGCTTCGCGTTCGTCAATATGTGTTCGCATTCCAGTTTTTGGTTATAGTTCATTGGCTGCACTTCTTGCTCTAGCAATTAATACAAAACGTCGATTTTAGTGATTTACTTGTATTTTATAGTATTTTTGAGGTTTTCCAAGTATTCCTGCAGTTTGCGTAGTGCAGCTGGTGTAGAAATAGATAAACTTCCTGTACTCTCCTGTGTTTTCAGCTTATGATATTAAATAGCGCCACAGGTGTTCATTCCATAACAAGTGATGGAATGAATATTCCTGCACTAGTGAGGGAATGAAGCTATTCCGTAATCAAAAACTAAGTCGGAATGGATGAATTCTCCAATAGTCGTAGAGAAAAGTTTTTTTTTACTGGCTCTGAAGAAGTACGTATTCGAAAAAATTTGCAACCAACTAAAAAAAACTTTAGGCCAAGAGAAGGCGAATGGCGCAAACCGCAGGTAGCTAGCACACCTGGTTTTACAGTTATCAGCATGAAAAATGGGTCACTCTCGGCTGGGACATCCTGTATAATAATAAATAAGTTGGTGCTAGAACTTTGGGCATGTGCTCCCACATTTCTAGAGTTTTTTGGTACTTGGGCTACGCTCGACATGAAAACAATGTGAAGTACCCATCAAATACGTTCCTTAGGTGCATTCAAGACAGAGTGCAAGGGCAGTAGGTAACCATGATTTTTGAAGTGAAAATATTATAGTAGAGTATTTAGTTTATATTTTACCCGAGATTTTACCATTTTCCCATTATAACCTGTAGCACTACTTATTAAAAAAGTTACAAGCAAATATAATCCAGTACGACCTTTTTGGTAACACTGTTTCTAAGAATAGAGCAGGATTTCTTAAAGAACACGCAAGCTTAGCCACCCTGTATAGTATATTAGGTTTATCTACATATTTATTTGCGAAATCGAAAACAAGAATCCCGATAAGTAGCTTGCAGGGTGCGCTAAAATCGATTATTAAAAGGCTTGTTTCATGATTTTTGAACCCACTTTACTGGGTCACCCTGTATACTTAGAGATTTGGTGCAATGATGAAAAATGCTTATTTTTGCTAGTACTATAACATACCAAATTTTTTAAAAAATCGACCGGTCCCCGAAAACCCATGAGATGTGTGCGATGTCCTTTCAATAAAGGTATTTTTATGCACGAGCGGGCGGTAAGTACTACTTACCGCCCGCGTTTGCGGGCGGTAAGTTGAACTTACCGCCCGCTATTTTCGTGTCATCAAACACTCTCGAATATTGGTGGAGGCCACTAGTTCAATTTAATCCGTGTTGTCAACTATGGAAATAGAAATAAAACAAGAATTATAATTTATTATGCACCTCAACAACTATAGTATATAGGTTTAATATTAATAGAATTTAAATATTATTATTTTTTGTTAACATACAAATTAAATATACAGTTATGTGAATTATCTATCACAACACCTCCTTTTCTTATGTGCTTATCAAGAACAACCGTATTTTCTGTATCATTTATCAGAGAAACAGGATGAGGTTCATCGTTTAGTTGTCTGGATGTTGTTTGGATCGAAGTCTTACCACTTGTTGAAGGAGTTTGGTGTAAAATTTGGTCTGCGAATTTCAATTTGCTCTCTATGGAGTCCTCGATATAACCCTCGGCAACCGTCGAGGATTTCCAACCTCCATGTCTTTTGAGAGCTAATACTTCTACGCCGCTATTTGCAAGAAGCGTCGCAGAAGTTCTGCGAAAAGCATGTCCAGTGTATTGAGAAGGATTTTGCAAATTTAAAAATGTGGCAATTTGTGCTGGCCATTTTCCTATGGTATTCTTTCCTACAACTTGATTAGTGCAAAAGCCGATTCGAATTTTTAAGAATAACTTGTTTGATTTTGCGGTTTTTTGTCGTAGTTCGATATATTTCCTACAAATCTCCAAAT